GGTGATTAGGTGACATTAGGCCTCCTCATTTTCCGTTTGAGCTTGCGTAGTTTTTCCAAATTTTGTGAAGGGAATAGTCAACCATCTGCTTCCCCTAATTGACGTGGGACACGCGAAGACCATCCTTCGTTCCGATCCCGTCCTCTGATAAAAGTCATATCATAACTTGTGGTTAATTTTAGGCGTTTTTCCCCTAATTGAATCGTAGCATCACACTTCCGCTATATGGTCACTGTCCAGCTAAGTCACCCGCGAAACCTCTTAAATGGTGAGGATCGATAATGGAATTATCCAAAATTCACGTACAGGGTACGTCACATTATCCAACGATCCTTATACGTACAGGGTATGTAACACTTGGACCGACCCTCTTGCCGAATTTCCGTCAATAACCAAACTAGATGGAATTTGTTGACTGACTAAACACACAATGGTCCATCATATTGCAACAACACCTGGACCACTTGTATCGAGTAAAGCTCGTCGTCTTGGCCCAGACAAATTAGCTATCGCGCAACAGGAATTTCAAAAGATGAATCTGGATATCGCTCATCGTTCGAAAAGCTCCTGGTGTTCCCCGCTACACCTGGTGCCCAAAAAGTCTGGCGATGGGCGACTCTGTGGAGATTACCGTGGACTTAACGTTCGTACGATACCGGATAGATATCCTGTTCGTGTATTTGAAGATGTTACCGCCAACCACGCAGGTAAAAAAATATTTTCGACTATCGATCTCGTTCATGCAGTCAATCAGATTCCTGTCGCATCTAATGACATCTGCAAAACAGCCATAATTACACCATTCGTTTCATTTAAATTTCCATTCATGACGTTTGGACTTCGAAGTGCCGCGCAAACGTTTCAACGGTTTATCGATGAAGTAACGCGAGATCTGGATTTCGTTTTTCCGTACATTGAAGATATCTTAGTTGCCTCCAAAGACTTTGAAGAACACCGAAAGCATCTTCACACCCTATTTCAACGCTTGGCAGAGTATGGCGTCCTCATCAATACCGCTAAATGCCATTTTGGACAACCAGAAGTCGACTTTCTCAGACAAGGCAACCCCATGGCAGTTCCGCCGCATTGATTATATCGGTCAGTTTTCAACTGATATTCGGCATGTCGTAGGCAAGAACAACGTTGTTGCCGATGCCTTATCGCGAGTCGAGACCATATCACCAGCAGTCTCGACAGCAGAGTTAGTACAGGCGCAAGCAGCAAATGCCGAAGTTCAACAACGTCTGTAAGATCCAACTGGCGTCCTCCAACCTATCAACATACCAGATAGTCCAACTCTAATTTACTGTGACGCTAACGATCAGCTGATTCGTCCCTATGTGCCGTCACGGCTACGCAAGAGATTTTTGAAGCTCAACATAGCGTCAGCCATTCAGGGGCTAATGCATCAATCAAGCTAGTCTCTCAGCGTTTCGTCTGGCCGAGTTTGAAGAAAGATTGCCGTCTTTGGGCTCGTGCGTGTCTCGCGTGCCAGAAAAATAAAATATCGCGTCACGTGACCTCGCCGATTCAAGACTTTCCCGGGGGAAGAACAAGACGTTTCAAGCACATTCACGTGGATATCATTGAACCATATGTGTCGTTTAAACGAATACCTTTGTTGTCTGACAATAATCGACAGATTTTCACATTTTCTGGAAGCATTCCCAATTCCTGATATTCCGCTGAAACGGTTGCTAGTGTACTCTATGCAAACTGGATTTGTCGTTATGGTGTTCCACTTCACATCACTACAGACCAAGGGGCACAGTTCGAGAGTCAAATATTCAATGCTCTCACTCGTCGTACAGGAAGCAGACACATTTCCACGACGGCGATTCACCCACAACCTAGCGGCATGGTGGAACGTCTTCATCGCCAAATTAAAGCAGCTATACGGTGTCATGAGAGTCCTTATTGGGTGGATGCTCTCCCCACTGGTCCTTGGCCACATGTTCTCACGTTTGCGTACGTTTAGATACGGAAAGCATTTTGTCATCTGGATTAATGGTCAAGCAACTGTCGTCTCTATTGACCGTTTAAAAGCAGTATTTACAATTGCTGGACACGAAACAATTGATACCGACTAGTCCGGTACTGATAGCGGTTCTAACGATACTTTATTGCCGTCATCACAGCAACCGACACCTGGTGCGACACCTGCAACATCACCACAACCAGGAACATCTAGACGCACATCATCAGCTTGGGCTCCATCGAGTGACGCAAGATCATCTTTGGACTCAACCCCATCATCATCGAAAAAACGCATCAGATTTACTCAATAGTTGAATTCATTTTCTTTAGAGTCACGTATACCGTTTTCACTGCCGTTTAACGCGTATACTCTTGTATCTATTGGATATAGTTATCCTTTTCTTTTGCGCCACAGAAGGGGAGTATTGTAGCAAAGCTACTTATATATTTATTTCAGATTATTTCAATGTATTATTTTCGAGCTTGGCTTAGCAACCGAATATCTTACCACAACACCTCGCGACGATTCGTAATAATTCGAACATCCTCGATCGAATGATTAATATCGTTGTCGCGAGAGCACACTCTCGTTCAAGCTGTCATGGTGTAAACCAAAGTTACGTTTGCTGTGAATAAATCTAATTCGATGTATATATTAATCCCGAGTGTTATGCGTTACAAACCCATCTACCCTTTACCGAATTCCAACAAAAAATTTAACGACGATCCGCATTGACAAATGATTACGGTCACAAGTGCTTACGGTCTTCCAACTGAAAGCCCTAATGCTCTAACAATGCTCTAAGGGAGCGCAAGTATTATGTGTATAACTTAATTTTTCCCTTTTTCAAATTAAACACTTTCACATTATAAAATATATGAATATGAAACAGGCCTCTTTTATTAAATGGATAATTGAGGAAAATAAGAGAAAATTGTTTATTAAAATTGGCTGAAGGTCTACACCTGGCGCGGCCTGGGTCAAAGGCTGCCAGGGCTCAAGAAAATCCTCCTTTTAATCATTCGAATCGACAGATAAATTTCTTTATTGGGCGCCAGTTAGTTTTTCGTTAACTAACAACGTTTCTCCGGCTTATCTCAGGGGTGGAGGTTGGACGACCCAAAGAATAACAGTTGACACAGAGAGAGAAACGAAAATAAGGCAAGAACACTTCAATAAAATTACTCACGTTAATGTCGACAATTCTCGCTTTTATTTAATAAAGCTCTCGGTCGCCGACTCTTCCACATAGAATAATTACACAAACAATACAGATATATATGATCAACTATTCGCGCTGCCACGGCAAAAGTTTCCTGCCATCGGCTTGTTGCGTCCATCGTGCAGGCGTTCGGCCAATCGATAATTTGGCGATTGCGCTCTCGGTGTCGACTGACGGCGTCATGGCGGCGTAGTTTGAATTCGCAGGGTAAAGAGAATAACTGAATAAAGTGACATATTAAACGGAGAACAATAATTGACAGCATGTTATGACTAATTTCTTATGGCAGTTTACGGGACAACCGAGATTGAGGGTGAGATCGCGTCGATGCGAAGGGAAAACTAATATCTCCTGTCGCAAATACTAGATCAATCCTCGAAATATTGTCCATCATTTTCGATGATCTTGCGCCATCGATCGGGCAACATACGAATGTCATCGCGAAAAAAATTGCGGGCTTTGAGGCGACGAAGTCAACGACGAATTTTTGTACATCGTCCAGAGTTTGGAAGCGGCTTTCCTCCAAGGCGCGTTATATAGATCGGAACAGATGGTAATTGGAAGGGGCCAAATTCGGTGAATAAGCCGTGTGCGGCACAACCTCCCAGTCCAAGCTTAAAATGGTTTTCTGAGTCGCCTGATCAACATGAGTTCGAGCGTTACTATGGAGCAATATGACTTTCGGGCTCCCTTGCCCAGTAAATGGCCTCTTCTCATCAAGTACCTCGCTCAATTTGTTCAATTGTCAACTGTAGCGTTCTGCAGTAACTGTCTGACCTGTTTCCGAAAGTTCGTAATAGAGTACACCCTTCATATCGCACCAGATGCAGAGGAAAACTTTTTTCAAGTGAATTTTTTGTTGGGAAATAGATATCGATGGTTATACGGGATCCACCCATGACTTTTTGCGTTTGCGATTAACAAAAGATATCCATTTTTCATCTCTCGTCACAATATCGACAAAAAAATTTTCTTTTGGCACTTGACGAGCAGCGAAAGACAAGTGTTCATGCGTTGACCGAAGTTATGTTCGAACAGTTCGTGTGAAATCCATCTTTCTACCTTTTGTATTTTTCCCATTGCGTGTAATCGTTTAGAAACTGCAGCTTGAGTAACTCCTAGCTGAGCTGCATGCTTTTTTTGGGTTTGCGTTGAGTCTTTGTCGAGTAATTTTCGCAATTCAGCATTTTCCAATTTCAGAGGCTCTCCAGGACGTTCCCGGTCACTGAGATCGAAATCACTATTTTCAAAGCATCTATACTAATATATGCACGTATTATAAGACACAATATTACTTCCGAGAGTAGAACAAATCGATTTAGCGGCTTCAATGGCTTTTTTTCCTTATCGGAACTCGTAGAGAATACAGTGCTGAATGTGCTGCGTATCGGTGGCGATCGTGTATACTACTATCTTGTGAAGTTATACAGTTCTTCCAGGCCTGGCATATAGCGTGTTAAAAACTGTAAGGTTCACTCTTCAAAATCGTAAACGGGTACCTAAATATTTGAATTTTAAATAAGACACCGCATTCAATGAAAAAAAAGGGATAGATTAAGTTATATACCTGTTATTTCAAGTCGACCCGTGTACCCACTCCTGGAATTTTGTCACATATGATCACTTCAATGTTTTGGGAGCTCAATCGCGAAGCGAAGGAATCTTTCGATGGGCTGATACATTGCCCCGATAATTCTTCGAATACAGCAATATTACCAGAACAACTGAATCACTAGGTAGTTGGGCTGTTTCCAATTAAATCTTATGCGACCTGAAAACACTCGTCTGCATCACAGACTGAAATTGCCTTCATTTTTCATGCGCCAAAGATTTTATTGATCATCATCACAGAGGTATCTGGTACATCACGAAATTGATTTAGAATTTTCACGGGAATTTCCTGCAGAAATATTTAATTACAGAATATATCAATTCGGAAAATCAGTGAATTCTTTGAAACCATTACGAAATCACAGACACAATAATCATCGGAAACACTTCTATAGTACTCAGGGAGTTCAAATGATTTCAGTAAAAAATGATTAAAATAAATTGAGTTTCTGCAAATTTCTTGAGAATGTTCTCCAAATATTATGAAAACTTGCCATGAGAAAATAGAGGCTATGGAAAAATAATAACACCAGTTATACCGTTGATCACACAGTTTCACAAATAATTAAACTTTGCACTCAGAATCCCAGTTTGTTGGAAGGACGTCTTGCCATACATGCGACAAATTGAGGAGTTTGCACGGGTCCGAGCATCTGGGGATTTTAAGAGGGGTTGCTTCGTATGTCACTGTATTATTCAAGTACTTCGCCTGAAAGTCAAATTCAGAAATAATTGTATTAACAATTCCAAGAGGAAAATCACGTAAGGTCAAGAATGAGATAAGAACTTTTTAATTAAAAATAGAATAATTAAAATTTCCTTCCAAATTTGCTGCTCTTAATAGCAAAATTGGCAGAAAAGGACAATCTCAACAAAATTGTATTTGATTTATTTTTTTTGCACGGTTACCTTGACTTCTAAGGCATGTTCTCCCTCCTCCATATCCTCAGATAATACAAGCTCAAAGATAAGAGCTGCTCCATAATCTGGTTTCAGTAATTCCTCGGTAAATCCCATTGCGCGCATCACATTTACAAGTGTAATATCATGCGCGGAATATAAATACAGTTTCCTTTCGTGTTGGTCATATCGTGCTCGCATCATGTTATCCAATACCTCCTTCAACAGTGGACCTGATAGTAATCAAGGAATTGTTGAAAAATTCTCATCTAAAATGATCATTAGCAAATACAAGCGTCTAATGGCCATTAGACGCTTATTCTCATTACCTCCTCGCAACCGTCGTTGCAGGGTATTGCTCGTGAATATTGCCAAACTTCTGGCTGCAATTTCTCGCATTTTATCGTTGTAAATTTTTTTTGTCCAATTAGGCAGTGTGAGTCCATGCTGGTCCTAATAGAAGATTGAAAAATTAATGGGAATAGAAAAGGTTTTCTATCATTAAAAGAAAAAGTATTGGTTGCGAAGTCAATTATTAAGTCATTCATACAAAATTTTTTACATCCATTATTATGAAATTGTTCCGGTTATGAGTGATATTGGGACAGTAGGTTTCTTCACATTTTATGATACAAGTTTAAAAGCACTTTTTTGCACGTTTCGCGCGCAAAGAATCGCCCTTTTCTCACCAGTATCAATAAATATCGTACGATACATGAAAAAATGTACTTCCTAATGAGTGATTACAGACCTCGCCTTCTTATCTTGACACAGCTCCTATGTTCACCTCGTGTCGGAATGTGCCTTTTCGTTTACTCGTAAAAAAGGCACGGTCCGACACTTGCTGAACGTAAAATTATTGTCAAAATAGTATATTTGGATACCAGTGAGATGGAATTTTCACAAGTTGGCGGCCCGAGGTGAAGCCGAGGGCTGCTAATGACACTCTTGAAAATTCGACTGAGCTGTTTGTTGCTCGCTTCGCTCGCTCCCATTGTGTGTATGCTGGAGTGGGTGTGACCCATTACGGATCGAACCAATAACTTCTCGACCAAATCCCATTTTTGTGTTTAGTGGAAAAAAATTTGGACATTTCCATCCAGATAACGAGAAATCTGTCGAGGCGATTTTGCTCAGCATCCAGTCAAAATTGAATGACATCGCTGCAAAAACTTCGGTCTTATGAACGGTCTGGAACTAAGATCTAAGAACGTAACTTCGATCAACAGTCTTAAAATCAGTTCAATATCCGATTTTAACGTGAGATTTTACGTAATTTAGAGACATAGGAACAACACATCGTTCAGATCTCAAATTTTAAGATCGCAACTTTAAGATCGCAAATGGATCTGATTTTAAGATCTTTGGGTTGGTTGAAGTTCCGTGAAGTGTTAGATCCACTGCCAATATAAGATCGGTGTAGCGATGAATATACAAAATACAAGACCATTTTAGAGTCTTCTCAGAAACTTTACTAATCATAATTAATTAATTCATAAATTGATTTCATTGATTTATTGATTCATTTATCAATTTATCAATATGTAAATTTGCTCAATCAATAAGTTAATGGTTTATTGAGTTACTAATTTAATAAACCATTAATGTACTCATGCATTTCATAAAACAAATTCCAATGGATGAATGTTAGAAGCCCTAAATCATTTATTTTTTACCCTAGTTTTTCTGACTCATTTTGACCCTCAACTCTAACCCTTATTTCTCCATATTATTTTTAATCTTTACCTATGACTCTAATTCAGACCCTTTTTTCTGAACCTCAATTCTGATGCTTATATTTAAATGGTGTCCCATAGGAATGTGTAAAAACTAAACTCATCTGCCGACTCATCCAAAATAAGCTTGACTGTCTACTTTTGTGTTACGTTTACTAGGGGCCAGTCAGTTTTATTCCAACTGTGGCAGGAGCCTTAGTTTGTTAGCAGTAATGAGGGATTTGACAATTCAAGAAAAAAGATATCTCATCGAGTGCTTCTATTCGAGAGGAAAAAATACTGTGAAGCTTTTAGGGGGTTTCGTACTAAATTTGGATCCAAACGAGTTGCTAGCGAGACCACTTTGAGGAAGTTAGAATAATTTTTTTTTTCATATTGATTGTGTGACTGGGGCCAGGCTTTCCTTAAACCAGAGGACTTACAACAAGCGGCTGTCACCAGCCTTATTAGCCTAGTGAGAAACACAGGGCTGGAGCTGTGGGACTGACCGAAACTAAGGCGGAAGTTACAAAAGATCGTATGATTTAGGTGACTCTGGGCGCTTTAAGTGACCAGCCGCACTTTTTCTATTCTATTCTATTCTTGATTGTGTGACACAACAAAACACATTACAGATTTTCGTAGAAATCCCGTTGGTTTCTAGTCATGATAATATTCTTTTTCTAGAATAATTGAAACTTTCGAGGAAGACGGTACTTTGGATGATCGTAGAGCTACTCTTCCAGGTCCCTCATTCTCTGCTGCAACAGAGGAGAAGGTCGATGAAGTTGAACAGTATTTCAAGGCAAATCCCAACTCGTCCATTCGGAGAGCCGCTCAAGATTTAAAATTGACCAAATCAACGTTGTATCGCATCCTCCACGTTTTTTTTGAAACTTCATCCATATAAAATATTGATGTGTCAGCGTTTGACAGAGGAGACGATTCTGAGACTAAAGGAATTTTGTGAAAGAATGACACAAATGTTCGAAAATGGCGAGCTGCATGAAACAGCAATTGTTTTTTCTGACGAGGCAAACTTTTGGCTAGACAACTACGTGAACAAAAATAATTTGAGATTTTGGGGATCTGGAAAACCTAATTTTTTGGTTACGAAATCTGCTCATCCACAGAAAGTCACTGTTTGGGCTGCTCTCTCCATGAAGGGTGTCTATCTATATTTTTTCGAATCTACTGTTACCGGGAAAGAGTACAAAAGAATGTTAGAAACAAAGTTCTTCCCTCACGCGAGAAAAAAAGGGCTTGTCAATGGGTTTTATTTTATGCAGGATGGAACAGCTCCCCACCGTACTCACAATGTTTTTGAAATTCTTAATAGAGTTTGTCGCGGTCGAGTTCTTGGTTTGGGATATCCAAAATTTTGTAGAGGGGGAATAAATTGCCCACCCTATTCACCAGATTTGAATCCGTGTGATTATTTCCTGTGGGGTTACAGAAAAGANTGAGAGTCAGCGTAGGATTTTGTACACGTGCGGAAGAGGACTCCCGCGAACAAAGACGCTATACAAACCAAAAAAAATGTAATTAACTTAGTGATACTAANGAAAAGATTCTTGTTACGCAAGCAAGCCAAAAACAATAAAAAATTTGATAAACAACATTAAAAACACTGTTCACGGTATTCCACAGGAAACATTAGAACGTGTATTCCACGGTTTTAGGAAATGTTTGGATTATTGCGCCAGTGTTGATGGCTCTCATTTCGAAAACATTTACTATTAATCGCACTTGTCACGTTGGATTTTTGTAAGCTACTCTTTTTGTTGGGTGAATTACATGTTTGAAAAATGAATATACGGTGAAACAAAAATGACAACTCTCCTCTATCAGGAACTGTATTCCTTTTCTTTTTCCGTTTCCAGTAAAAAAAAATAATCTAACCGTTTTCACACATTCCCATGGAACAACCTTTAAATTCTGACCGTTATACTTTGACACTTATATTTTGACCCCGACGTGTGCGGCGTATTTCTAAGCCTTATGTCTGAAACACATTTTGGCCGTCATTTCTGATCCTGGCTCTAATTTTTTCTAAAATCGATAATTTTTTCACAGATTTTTTCTAAAATAATTACAGGGGCAAATGTAAACAGATTTCCAATGTTCGAATGAACAGGGAAAGGGCATCGGTGGGGAAGTTATTGGTTCGCCGCGTAATGGGTGATACCCAATTTCAGCAAAATATGTAAGGGTCAAAGAAGAAAAATGAAAATATAAGAGTCAAAGTATAAGAGACAAAATATAATTGTAATTATATATATATATTACAATATATATATTATTTTTATTATATATATGTTGTGAGGTATTTTTCCAAGCACGTCGGCGGGATTCAGACGCGTGGTGCTCCACGAACTTCCAGCGACCCCTTTGGACTCTCTCAACCCGGAATTAGAACGACGGGAATAACGAGAGGAGACAAAATGCCAAAAAGGGCGCCAGTCCTTTTAATCGCCAAAGGACAAGGTCACACCGTTGAGCCGCGTTCCACGACTAGCTCAGATAACCGCGGAGGCGTGTGGGAACAGGCTACAATGAGCGTAACTCAATAATATGCAAACTTTTACAAAAAAAAAATATTTTTAATCCATGAGTTAAGTATGATCTTTTACTCGTCCATATGAGAGTCAGCGTAGGATTTTGTACACGTGCGGAAGAGGACTCCCGCGAACAAAGACGCTATACAAACCAAAAAAAATGTAATTAACTTAGTGATACTAACTAAATAAAAGAAATAATAATAATTTTAGAGATGCGTGGGAGACGCTAAGACGCGAGGATCACCCGCAAGCGACGACGACGCGAGAGCCACACGAATGAAGAAATTGAACAAAGTTCCAAAATCAGAGCCGATAAACGGCAACAATACGAATGAAATAATTAATATTCAATAATGAAAATAAAGGAATGAGGCCAAAGGCCACTGAGTGCCGCGTCCCGAAAGCAAAAGGCTCGAGTTTTAACACTCGAACGGTGTCCAAAATGGCCACCGGAGAAATGAATCGAAAAACTACGCGAGCACTCACAAATTAAATCACGCTCACCGTTTGATATGTGAGGAACTCCAGTGTAAACTCGTCTGGACCCTCAGTACGGCGACGTCAGGAAAAGACCAGAAAATCCAGGTACACCAAAGTAATAATTGTTTTAACGATTTAAACAAGCTGAAAGAGCGTAATAAAACTTTAATTGCGCAGAGCGACTTAATATGGCTGAACCCCAGCGAAGAGTGTCCGTCGGGGCCGTACATCGCCCCGAGGAACCTCAAAATCTTTTTTACCCCCACCCCGATCACGCGATGAAGCTCGGAGAATCCGCGTTATTATATGATTTTGAATTGGGAATTTTAAAATTGTCATAATTCCCAGTTCCTGAGTCCCAGAGAACTGAGACCTGCGCCGCGTGGTCGGTGGGTGTGATCCGCATTGAACAGCGCAGAAGCCAACATAATCCGATGCTCCCTCAATGTTGCAGCATGAGTTTTTTACTGGGCGGCCTTGCGCCCCCGATCCAGCGGTGAGGCGGTGGGGGTTCGCACGTAGAGGCCTGAGATGCCTGNTTACCCCCACCCCGATCACGCGATGAAACTCGGAGAATCCGCGTTATTATATGATTTTGAATTGGGAATTTTAAAATTGTCATAATTCCCAGTTCCTGAGTCCCAGAGAACTGAGACCTGCGCCGCGTGGTCGGTGGGTGTGATCCGCATTGAACAGC